GTGAGACCCCGTCTCAAACAAACAGCATTGTTCTCATCTCCTCCCCAACAAAACCCCACAAAACAAATCCTATATGGTGTGTCTATCTATTTTGTGTTCACAGTAGACACATCTAAAGAGAGAGTGTAGATCCTGTGGTTATCAGGGGCTAAAGGAAGGGGAGGGGAATGAGATTACAGACCTGAAAATGCTCTAAAATGAAGTGGTAGTAATGGCTGTACCAATGAATTGTATTTTTAGATAGGGAATAATATTTATACATCAGTTTACAAAAAGAATGCATGGAGACAGGCAGGGAGAGAGAGGGCTCTGTGACACACAGTCCCATTTCTCCTTTTCAATCCGGAGACACAGAGGTTGCTATGTAGCCTAGGCTGGCTTAATACTCCATTCTGCCCTCAGACTTCTAAAGTTTGAGATTATGGGCTTGTTTTCAGCTTTTTTTGTTTGTTTGTTTGTTAATTGAAATACTGTTGCAATGAGGAACACTGAATTGGAAAGAAAGAAAGAAAGAAAGAAAGAAAGAAAGAAAGAAAGAAGGAAGGAAGGAAGGAAGGAAGGAAGGAAAGTCACTAAGTGTGATGATCTCTTCATTTAAAAGGCAGAGGCTGTTATGTTAGGTCTTTGGGGTCTGGAGGCCAGCCTGGTCTACATAGCTAGTTTCAACCCAGTCAGAGTTACGAAGTGAGACCTTGTCTGGAAAAAAAAAAAAAAAAAAAAAAAAAAAAAAAAAGAAGAAGCAGTCATCTCAGGCAGGTCTCACTGAGATGCCCCAGGCTGTAGAAGGGAGCTCTGCTGAGGTGAAGCCAAGGTGTGGTAAGTTCTCAGTCTTTTACAAGCACTTGCCCAGCATTAGGTGAAGGGACCTTGCAAGGTTTTTCCTATCGCTCAGTCCAATCTCTCCAAAATTAAAAATGTCTTCCCTGAATTATCCTGAAAAGACAGCTCAAAGTCAGAGTTAGAAGGAGGCTCAGCAAATAGGGGATTAACTGTTTGCTTTTGTATGAGCTAAGAATGTATTTTTATAGTTGAACCCTCAACTAAGTAAAATCTTAGCAAAATACTGTACTTGGGAAGTCAGGCGGTATTTCAGTGGTAGAGCACTTGCCTACCTGGGATCTACACCTTGCCTCTCCAAAGGAAAACAGTATACTTATTATATTTAATTATATAATTATTTTTATTGTATTTTGAGTTTCATTAAAAAAAAACCACCCCCAAAACTACAGGGATTTGTTTTAGGTCCTCCATGCACAAAATACAAACATTTTACTCCTTGGCCTTTTCCAGAAACAGTTTGTTTTATCTAAACGCCAGAGAAATGTTAGAAATTCTATTGTATTTCTAAGCATGTATAAAGGTGGACAAGCTGCCAGCTACAGTCACAAATAACAGTCCTCAAAAATAACATAGCCTGTGTATGAGGGGGATTTCAATCACATTAACCAGTCATAAAATATTCTTGGTAGATTCTGTAAATTTGAGTTTAAAGAAGCTAATGAGGTTGGGGGGGGCAGAATTGTGCTTATAGCTCTTGTAATAAGAAAGGAAAATAAAAGAGAAAGGAAGTGAGAAGACAAATGCTTGTGTCATTTTGAATTGATGATGATAAACATGCTTGTTTGTAACAGTGAGTTTGAACACCTGTGTGTCGACTGCACTGAGTGAATCTTTTTCATGACCGCACTGAGTCCTCATTAGAGCCTTGAAAAACTGAAGTCAGGGAGACCCCCGATGTCACCTCCAGTCTGCCAGTGGTAAAATGTAGTACTTTGTCCAGAAAAAAAGGGGGGGCGTGAGATTAGAAAGTCAAGGGTCTTGAATGCTATGCTTTTGGAAGAGACTAGATTCTGTTTATCTTTGCTGGGTCATTATTTAGACAAAGGGGCCCTGAAGGATTCTCGGAAGGGATGTCAAATGGTCAGTGGTGTTTTGAGATGATAACAAAGATGGTTTTAGGAAACGACTCTTAAGTGAAGAGGTTGGAGAGTTAAGAACAAGAGAGAGTCTGTATCCGCGGTTACAGAACACTTCCCTTCTTCGAGCCGACGCAGGTGACTATGTGGACACAGAGTCAAAGACACCTTCAGGGTTTTGGGTAGAAAAATGAGAACTCAGATAGAGAACACTCTGTGAAAGAAAGATGAGTCTAAGGAAAGTTCTCAAGCATCCCTACGGAGTTCAGGGGACTGACTGGTTTCAGGATCCGTCTCCCCAGGGCACTGAAAGCCTCAGATAGGCTAGTCTGGTAGTCTTTACATACAAGTCACACTGTTTACCTGCAACCTACAGAAACCTCTGTAGACTATTGAAATTCTGAAGGCAATGCAAATGCCATGTAAATAATTGTGTTCTGTGAAGGACTGAGTGACACAGGGAAGGCTCTACATATGGTCAGTACAAAAGTGCCCTAAATAATCACTTTATTATCCTGGCACTATCAAGTCAGGAATCATTCCAATGCTTTGGAAAGTTTTGATCCACAGTTGTTTGACTCTGTTCATGTACACTCTATGGGTACAAACAGTGTATTTACAGTTTCTGGAAACATTTGGGAAGTTGTCGGGTTATCACCAGACATGTGTGTCTAGAAGTTCAGAAATGACTGGTCTGGAAAGAGTGGTAATGGTGGAAGAAGGTTGTGAGAAGCAGAGAGCAGGGGGAAAGACTGAGGAGAAAGGGGGCATCAAGGGGACCACGTCTCTAGAAGCCCACACCTGAGAAATCCTTCCATCACTAACCTGGGTGAAAAAGTATGGGACAGTTAGAAAGGCTGAGTGGTTTTATCGAATAAAGACATCTCCAGGTGGCCGGGCGGTGGTGGCGCACGCCTTTAATCCCAGCACTCGGGAGGCAGAGGCAGGCGGATTTCTGAGTTCGAGGCCAGCCTGTTCTACAGAATGAGTTCCAGGACAGCCCGGGCTATACAGAGAAACCCTGTCTCGAAAAACCAAAAAAAAAAAAAAAAAAAAAAAAAAAAAAAAAAAGACATCTCCAGGACGGGCTAGTCAATGGAATGTTACAAAGCCAGGGAAGAAAAAAAGATCTGTAAACAGGCAAAAGGATTTGGCACTTAGAAGGTCACAGATGACGTCTGAGAAAGCGGGAGACTGATGGTGCTTTATAGTGCTTGTTGAGTGCCGAGGGTGGGGGAGGAAGAGAAGCAGGAAACCAGGGAGGGAGGGGGAAACTGGGAGTGGGGTAGAGATTTAGGATGGAGCAAAAACTATAAATGGAGTGTTAGGGAGAGGGATACAATATATATTAAAAAAAATATTAAGAAAAGAGATGAATTAAAAAGATCAGGGGTTCTTGATCTTGGAACAGCCCTTCTATTCCAGAAGGTTCCACACTGTTTAGCAGAACACACACATGTTTTAAGGATGGCTGGAAACTCTGCTATAGAAAGAGTTGTGTGTTTCTCTGGTGCTGGTTACAGAATCATCTAGTTTCTTCATCTTCAGTGAAGATGAAATACTCACCTATGGTCTTCCCGGGTATACTGGATTTTACAATTCTACTTACTGTTTTAGTTTTTTGAGACAGGGGTCTAAGTAGCCCAGGCTGACTTCAAAGTCATTGTTTTCCTACCTCCGCCTGCAAAATGCTGGGATTACAGATGTGCACCACCAAGCTTCATTGGTTTTATTTTAGTTTGAGAAGATTTAGAGAATTACATATTGATTCTCTCAGTTCGTGCGCACTAGCCTACTTTATAAAATGCCTGTCCTTGCTGGTTACGGTGTGCCCCTATTGATCAGTGTACCGCCAGTCCTCAAGACTGCCAAACATAAAAAAATTCAGGAATAAAATCCGCTTTTTTTTTTTTTTTTTTTAGGTGAGGTCAGACATGGTCGACCATTCTTTATGGCTCTCTGGAGTTGCTTGGGGATGAAAGGAATTACTGGGTTAGAAAAACAACCAAGACAGTGGTTTCAAGATGGAAGACAGAAGAAAGAGCTAATTATTAGGGTTTTGTTTATTTGTTTTGGTGGAGGTAAGGACGCAGTTTTTTACAGTACCTTACAAGTTAGTATCTTAGACCACTGCCCGCAGCATCACCTAGAAACTTCCTGGAAACGCAAATTCTGAAGCCACACTTTAGATCCCCAGTTTCAGTACCTCTGAGGGGTGGTACCCAGTCTTAATGGCTCTCTGGGCAAGACTGCCCCGCCTAAGAGCTATGGATTTATTGACACATGGCCTTTCGACTCAACAGCCTAAGCGCCCATCCAGCAGGCATCCCCTGGGGGTGCACTTGAGAAACATAGAATCGCAGGTTGCCCCCAACCCCTCTCTATCAGAACACACGCCCAAGAGAAATCAAGCCTGGTGTCTTCTCCCGCGTCAGCACAAGCAAGGAGGATCTCTTCTCCAGCTAGTTCCGAAGCCTGACGGCCCAATTGGATAAGCCGCGAAATTGCTTTAAAGAGCGTAACCCACTGGGCCGGGTGCACTGCACCCCGCTCGCTGTCACCCCACAGCTACCGCAGGGCTTGGGGTCCTGCAGGGTAGAAAGGAGGCTCTGGAGGGGAGAGCCGGTGAGCGTCGAGCCTCCCAGGCGGGCCCCCCCAGCAGGTGTGTGGGGAAGGGTCTGCGG